AGCTGACACTTTAAGTTAGATTTTTTGAATTTATGTTTTCACATTATTTAAAAAAGTGATGCTGAAACCCGAATGGATGATATCTGGCTGCTGTAGTGAGAGCCCTGTGGGTTGGTCTACTGCCATAATGACCTAATAAGGAAACAGTACCCCTGCAAACACTTTGTGATGGAACCCTCTTCATCCCTGTAACTTGTGAACAACATATCTTTGTACTTTTCCATAGCCTTACTCAACAGATTGAGATGCAAAATCTTCTCCTGGTTGTTTGGATACTATGAAGTGTGAGGTCCAGGTATCTGGCATTATGAGTGATCAATCAATCACCCAATCAAACTAATTGTATAACCAATATTCACAATTTACAATTTGTCTCAAAGGGCTTAACAATATGGAGGACCAACAATTTGTATACATGTATAAATATATACATACACACATATATAAATGCATACATAAATATGGAAATAAATAAATGAATGTCTTAAATTTATTTCCACATTAATTTCGGTATTTCTGTGTCCATATGCTAATGAGAAAGGTGGTCCTAACCTCAGTCTCATGCAGGATTGGTCACAGGAGTGTGATGATCCAGTTCTTCTACTTCTGACTTTCACTGCTGACTGTTGTGCAGTAGTTAATGTATGCAGTGTTTTGCCAGTTCACACTTAACGAGAACTAGTTCAAAGTTCAGTTCATGCAGATGAAAATGAACTATTTCACATTCATTTGATTCATTTGTTATAGGGATGATTTAGTAACATACTTTAAGATCATGTGTTTAGTTAGTAATGTTGGATCATCTCTTCATGTTGCTCCAGTCATTTTAACACTGAGTCCTGACTGTGAGCGTCTTGTCTCATGTTGTACTGAGCACATGTTGACGAGTCATTTTTTATGATGTTTAAATGATTCTCATTAACTCTGAAGCGAATCAAACAAACACTGAGTTACTTCATGTACTGATCAGGTCCTGATAACTAGTGATGAGTGTTTATTAGTTATAGTGAGAGCAGGTCAGAGTGGAGGAGGAAACAGAAACTCCAGGTCAATACAAACCAACTGCAGCTTCTACTCTGATCATGGAGCAGCTGATCACTAAGCAGCTGTGACCAGAGGAACTCTGTGTCTCACTGTTTCCACTGTTCTTCAACAAAGTCACTTACCTGCTGCTTCATGTGAACGAGCTCTGATCTCACTGTGTGTTGCTCTGAGCCAGTGAGTGGGGGTGGGGGGCAGAGCCCCCGGGGCCTCTGTGCGCTATCTGGGAGCACACACACACACACAACATGAGACGAGACGCTCGCAGTCAGGACTTAGTTGTTGTGCAGTAGTTAATGTATGCAGTGTTGTGCCAGTTCACACTTAACGAGAACTAATTCAAAGTTCATTTTCATCTGCATGAACTGAACTTTGAACTAGTTCTCGTTAAGTGTGAACTGGCAAAACACTGCATACATTAACTACTGCACAACAGTCAGCATTGAAAGTCAGAAGTAGAAGAACTGGATCATCATACTCCTGTGACCAATCCTGCATGAGACTGAGGTTAGGACCACCTTTATCATTAGCATCCGGACACAGAAATACAGAAATAAATGTACATTTAATTATTTATTTCCATATTTATTTATGTATTAATTTATTAATTGATTTATACTAATTTTTGACTTTTTTTGAGTTATTGTCGATGATGGTAATGTGAGTTGGCATATTGTATATCCAGCTGTCTTATTGAAAATAATAGTCCATGATCAGCTGCCATGATCCACCAACTCTATCCACGACCAGCTGCTAACACAGGATGCGAAAATACGATCACGATCAGTCAACAAAATCCACCAATACGATTGCAATCTCTGATTCACGATCCACCATCATTATCCATGATGTGACAGCAGCTTTAGTCCTGGATCTGCAAACAATAAAGCACAAAGACTCCAAGGAAGAGGTCAGGTCAGTAACGTACTGATGAGTAATTAATATGATAAAGAGGGACATGAGTAAAGACATGTGTCATGTTTCCCCCAACATTCTAGACCTATAGCAGCAGAACTAAGAGCAGGTCCAAAACAAGCCTGGACCAGCTCTAACCAGCTCTAACTATAAGCTTTATCAATTAGGAAGGTTAAAGACTACTCTTAAAGTAGAGAGGGTGTCTGCTTCCCGATCTGAAACTGGGAGATGATTCCACAGGAGAGGAGCCTGATAGCTGAAAGCTCTGGCTCCTACTCTACTTTTAGAGACTTTAGAGACAACAAGTAAGCCTGAATTGTGCAGTGCTCTAGTAGGGTGATATGGTACTAAGAGTTATTCAAGGTATGATGGTGCCATATTATTAAGGGCCTTGTAGGTTTGGAGGATAATTTTAAATTCTATTCTCGATGTAACTGGAAGCCAGTGTAGTGAAGCTAATACAGGAGAAATGTGATCTCTTCTTCTGGTTCTTGTCAGGACACGTGTTGCAGCATTTTGGACAAGCTGCAGTGTCTTTAATGACTTACTGCTGGAGCCTGATAATAAGGAATTACAATAATCAACTCTTGATGTGACATAATCATGGACATGTCTGTTTTTTGAGATGTTAGAGAAAGTGAAAGAATGTAGTCCTAGAAATTAGTTTTAAGTGAGAATCAAATGACAAATGAGGATCAAAGATAACTCCCAAAATCCTCAATGTTTCATTGGAAGCAAGGACAATGTCATCTAGCGCAGCTATATCATTAGATAATGTATCTCTAATGTGTTTAGGGCCAAGTATTAGAACCTCTGTTTTATCTGAGTTTAATAAGAGGAAGTTATGGGTCATCCAGGTTTTTATGTTCTTGAAACGTGCTTGAAGTTTAGTTAATAGATTACACTCTTCTGATTTTATTGATGAGTATAACTGGGTGTCATCTGCATAGCAGTGGAAATTTACAGAATGAGTTCTGATAATGTTTCCTAGTGGAAGCATATATAATGAGAATAAAATTGGACTGTGCACAGAACCCTGTGGAACACTGTGGTTAACTTTGGTGCGCACAGATGACTCATCATTAATTTGTACAAATTGGAATCAATCTGATGATCAGTAGTGTCGAATGCTGCACAAACCCTTGATCTGAGGCTATTAGAAGGTCATTAGTGATGTGCTATGATGAGCTCTAAACCCTGACTGAAAGTCTTCATATAGATTTTTTTCCTGGACAAATACAACACAACTAACTAACTTTTTTTAGAAAGATTCTTATTGCTCTTTTTTGGAGAATAGACAGTAACTCTAATGAAGTTTTGTAATTGTTGCCCTAAATCTTCATGCAGTAATTTAGATATGGTAAAACTAGTAAAAAGTAAAGAATGTGGAACATGCTTGCTTTACTTTAATACAGAGATGCTTCATGACAGTTTCGCTTGTATATGTTCAATGTGTGATTTCCAGTCTGTCATCTATAGCCCAACACTGACCCCTGTAGGACATCACAAGCCATGTTCAAATACCTTTTGAATTTTATGACAATTAAAGGCTACCACAGGTTATTTTTCATGTTTGGAAGGAGAGGGTGAGATGAGGGGTGTTCAGCTGCAACATGCAATTTCAACACTGATATCACTAAATTCTATACACTGTAATTTTAAAGGTCTAGTGTGTAAGATTTAGGTGAAAGGGAACTATTGGCAGAAATTTAATGTAGAATAATTCTCATGATGTTTTCACTAGTTCATTTCATCTAAATTGTATGAATTATAGTTTTCTTTACCCCAGAAAAGGCCCTTTATATTTAAATACTTTATATTTACATCGAGGGGACCCTCTCTACAGAGGCTGCCATGTTTTTTACATCACTAAACACCTTTTGAGTTTTTATGACAACTGAAGGTTACCACAGGTTCTTTTTCATGTTTGGAAGGAGAGGGTGAGGTGAGGGGTGTTCAGCTGCAACATGCAATTTCAACACTTGATATCACTAAATTCTACACACTGTACCTCTAAATAACTTTAGATTTTTAGTTTTTACATTTATTAACAATATCCAGCATTTAGGAATTGAGACATTTTCAGCTGGGATTTCTCTACAAAATCATTTTTTCTCCAGCTGTCCCTGGGTCTGGGATTTTCGCTGCTGGGTCAGTTCCAACATTTACAAAGAATTCATTGAAACTGTTAGCCACATCATCCATGTTATACTTTACATTATCCTTATCAATACAATACTTGGGATAACTTGGGTTGTCTACAGCTGCCAAGGTAATTAGCATGCCACTATTCTAAAACCCAATAACAATATTGATGTAAAATAGGTATAATGTTTACGGCTAAGATTGGCGCATTAGAAACAACCTACTGCTGAGGTTGCATGGGATGTATTTAGTTTTCCATTTATTGTCAGATATTGACAATGTTATTACACAAATTGACAAGTAAAGTATTATAATAATAAAATACAATTTATGAAGCATTTTATGTGTCAAAACACTTCTGCTTGTTTCTCAGAACTGTGGTGATATTAATAAGATACATAATAAAGAGGTTATTCAATTATAACACAACAATGATTCATATGAAATTCTTTCATACAAATATTACTTTTCACTCTTATTTTGAACGACATTTTGAGAACAAGTATTTGAATAATAATACATTTATGTGTATTAGATGCTAAGAGGCCAACTTTCTATATGGTATGTTGAATAACATATGTGCAATGACAGTCAGAATATATGGAATGTAAGTTTGAATATGGAAGTAGTTTTCCACAAATCTACATGGTTTTTACCTGGCCTGGAAAGATTGCCTGATAACTTATAAAGAAAATCCTCAAAAATACCAGAACCTCCTGTTATTAACCATTAATAGAAGGAAATAAGAACAACCCCAGGTTCCTCTTCAGCACTGTAGCTAGGCTGACAGAGAGCCACAGCTTGACTTAACCATCTATTAATTTACCTCTGAGCAGTAATAATTTCTTGAGAGCTTTACAAATTGTAACCATAAGGAAAAAAATTAACTTCTTCCAGTATTAGTGTTGATAACTAGTATTTTTATTGTATTATTATTATTAAGAACGTGGGCATACATGCAGCTCATACACAAAAACTAAGCAAGTAGGTTTTACATCTCAACAAAAATTATACAGACTATCGTGGGCAAGTTATGTCATTGGTTTGTACCTGAATTTTGTTGATTCAAGATTCATAAGTACTAAAAATGCTGCATCAATGGAAATATGATTTTCAAGGTGACGTGATATAGCCAAACTGTTAGTCTCACAAATACCAATAACAAGGATGTTTTCCAATTCAACAAGTACTAGAATATGTCATCTGATGCCATTTTGTAAAACCAAGGAATTCAAGAGGCTACACATTATTTAAACTGCTTTCAGACAAGCACTGAACCCCGGAGATTCTCCACACTTTCTCAGCAGGAGGTGTATGTGTGGATGGAAATGTCAGAGTGAGAGCTTCCGGATAATCTTTGCCCCATTACCGTGAGTGAGCGTGGGGGTTAATGAAGCTTCTAACATGCAACAGAAGTAAAAATGTAAAAAACAAAAAGAAAACAAATATTTACGGGGTGTAATAGGCGTGACACACATTTAAAATTTCACTCTATATATTCATGTCATTACATGTATTCAAACTTTGTGTGCAATGGCTCTCTGTGGGGGTAGCGGGAAGATTCTGCCCACGTCCCCTAGAAAGCTTGGACCGCCCCTGTCCGTGAAACGTTCAGACGGGATTAAAATCGCTTCCACCTCGGATGCTGCATTTATTCCCTAAACCTGGCCAACACCAGCCTTTCTGCTCCGGACACAGACAGAGGACATTTCCATTCCCCATGCTGTCCCATGTCTCCGCCTGTCAGTGAGACGCCTGGACGCTGATGGGCTGCGGGACACGATGTGGATTGGCATCGGTGTCATCCCGCAGACCTGCCCGGGGCTGTGTGGCCTCGGTGCGTGAGCTAGCGGGCAGACTGGACTGTGATCGCGCATCGTTTCAGCATTCTGAAATGGATTTCTAAACTCCCCTCGGCTTGACTGGAACAATGCGGCGACGGATCGACAGGGTTTCTAAAATCTACGAGCAGGAGAAGCTCCACAGGGCGTCTGCTGGTGTGTGTCGGCTCCAGGACGCGGTGAGTCCACAGCCGATGCCACAGGACGGTGCTGGCCGCAGTTTATAGGCACCGGATGGAGATAGGAGCAGTCGCCTTACACCAGTAAAACACTGTCAGCAGTGATGATCCCTCATTCTGCCCTGCCACTGGAGCTCTCCTGACATGACATGCACAAGAAAGAAGAGGAAACGTAGCTTATTTTAAAATGAGTTGGCAACAGGCTTTACCATACACCAGAGGACTGGAGCACTGACACAGCTGTCTGTCGATCATCCACTGTTTAGCTCATGTTGTGATAGAGCGGGCTGGTGGATTGCTGTAGCCTGGATTTTATGTAGCCTGCAACAACGGCCTGCCTACCACAGACAAGCAGCCCACAGCAGGTAAGCAAGAGACCACGACTACCATTTTGTATTTCCTACACAGTGTCATGTGTGTGTATTCCTGCTAAAATCCTCATAATAATGGTCTGAGGAGCAGCCTCCTGCAGGCCCAGACTGAGGCAGATCACAGGAGCTGGTGTCTTTGTGCCTCACACAGTGTGATGCAGAGCAGCCTGACATCACATTCATCACAGCAGCATGCACAGTGGTCAGTGTGTTGCCATGTTGTGTTCATGATGAATAGTGTTGGGTCTCCACCAGCTCTTGGGGCCTTGCTCAGCACAGGGAGAGCCTAGTGATTTATTTCCCCTCCTAGATAACAGAGTGCCACATCCTGAAGAAATGTAGTGTGTAAGTTGTTTGATTATAAAGCCACCCAGGTCCTTGGTAGTGGGACCTGTGTGCAGCAGTTGGTGGCTCTCCAGTCCTCATCAGACCTGCCACTGACTGTCTATATCTCAGGCACTGAGCTTTGCTGCCTCCTCCCACCTACAGCAAGCCAGAGGTATTGGGCTGCTGTTGCTACCCAGTTCCTGACAGTGACTCTGCCCTCCGCTGCCAACCAACTTCCAGCTTCATAAAGCCCCTCCTTCAAGACATACAGCCTCTCAGTTCCCCACAGCTCCCAGCCTGTGGAGCTCAACAATGACCTGATCATGCGATCTTGATTTGTTAAATATTGTGTTCATCACACACCATTCTAATCACAAACACAGATGATTACATATATAGGAGCTATGTCATGTCAAATACTCCCCTGAAAATAAAATGTATTTATAACAACTAGACCAACAGAACTGATTTGAGGAAGAAATAACTTCTGCAACATAATATCAGTGAAAAGCATTTAATCCCATGTAATTGGCTATGTATTAGGCATTAGTCAAGATTGTAGTCTACTGTGATGTCATATAAGTAAAACAGTGACTTTTCCTTTCAAAATTAATTTGTTTATTTTGTGTTGCTTTTGTGGTTGTTGCCCTATGGGAAATGGTCTAGCGCTTTTCTAGTCTTGATGACCACTCAAGCACTGTACAGTACAGTTTTCCATTCACCCATTCACACACACATTCATACAGTGCATATATGTGCTACTCTCTCTATCATACATCAATCATGCGCTGAGGGGCCAAACCTCAATTTGGGGTTGAGTATCTTGCCCCAGGAAACTTTGGCATGCAGAATGATGCAAATGGTCATCAAACTGCCAACCTTTCTGGTTAGTTGACGACCCACTCTCCCTCCTGAGCCACAGCTGCCCTATGTGAACTTGTCATGGGAGGCCCTGATCACAGACATGCATACACGCAAACCCCAGTACAACACACATCCATCCGTTCTAGTCATGCATTTCTTTGCACCCCTGCAACTTGTATGGTACCGCTGTGTCATCAGTGTGTGTGTGGGTGTGTGTGTGTGTTAGAGAGAGAGAGTGAGAGGTAAAGCACTTTGGATAACAGCTTTACATAAATATTGCATTTGACTATTTATGTCTACTGCTGTCTCTAGAGCCACAAGGTATAGATCAATTTTGTGGCAGCACTCATGTTATACAGTATTTTGACTATGGTGCAGATTCTGCAGCTACATATTTCCTTCAAGAGTTGGAGGAGACCAAACCAGCTGACAGAGATACAGTATGGAATTTACTTTACATTCAGCAGGTGGACACAAACATGGATACTATTGAATGATAATGTGTCTCTGCTTGATGTATAAATAGACAACTGTTTGGCAGTTCATGGTTGCAGGCATCCAGGTCACTATTAAAATACTGCAAGAAAGAACTCTCCATAGACACAGGATTTTTTGGGCAGTAGATGCGATGAGACCCACTTTCAGTGGGCTGTTTCAGGTGTTGTGATTATGTACTTTCCCTCGCGCGGGGTACGATTATGTACTTTCCTTCACACGGGGCACCATTAAATGCTGTGCTTTTGGGCATTGAATAAATGTGGATCAGAGAAATATTAATATTAAAAATATTAATATTAAATAATAATTAAACTGATAAAAGATAAATCGGGGGAACCACCCTTCAAAGGAAGGGAAAAGATAGCCAATTTATTGAATAAGTCTCATGAAATTACTGACTACAAATTTGGAACTCTGATTAATAATTAAATAAATATCTATAACCAAAATTACCACATCAACAGTTAGCAAAGTTGAAGGATATGGAGTTCTTGACAGTGTAGAGGTTGGCAAAATTCACACTTATGCAACATTAATAAAGACGTGTTTTAAAGAAAAACATTTATTATGGGAATAATAAAAGTATAAGCACACAAACTAACAAAAGGTGTACTTACTATATACAGATGTGTATGCAAGTATCCGTGTGTGTGGGTGTGTGTGTGTGAGTGAGTGACTGAGATTCAAAATGGCGGCTGGCCACTGAAGACAAAAGACCCCCTGGAGTGGTGAGACCATGTGGCTGAGATCACATGTATGTGTTAAGTTTGTGGAGATGAGTGTGTGAGGTGTTGGTGCCAGGTTAAAGATAGTAGTAAAATGCATGCAAAGAAAGTGATCAGCATAACAGAACTAACATTAACTTTCAAATAACATATTACCAAATATCACAACAACACAAGTCAAACTTATAAACATTACATGAAATAGAAATATGATTAAACAGTCCTTTGCTTAGCCTAGCGTATCAATAAAGCCCAGTTGTGTTACCTGTTAATGAAAAAGAGGGAAAGCTCCTTTTTGGATGTGCAGTTTGAAGTCCAGTGAAGTGGTCTTGTTGGTTTGTGGCTCCTGTTGTGCATCTGCTGRTSAGACCTTGTGTCGTGGCCAATTGTGCTGAAGTTCTTAGGCAGGCTCTCRYGTCACTGCCTTTGGAAGGTTTTAGCAGTCTGCTCCAGGCAGGCCTGCTTGAAGTTGARGASCTTGTGTAGGGAGGAAGTCTCCCTGGCTGGGAGAGCAGGGCCAGAACCTACTCCTCCAGGAGCGGTCAGCAGGGGAAGAGGCAGAAGAGAGAAGAGAGCCAGGAGAGGGGAAACTCGTTTTATATTGGCCTTGTGACATCATGGGTCATGGGGCACACAGTGACCAACAGTGGTTGAGAGTTGTCTCCAGGAGCAGTTTTACCACCTATGTGTGAAGATGAAGCACCCTGGGAGACTGAGTTCTGGAAGCTCTCCTTTGTCTCAGGAGCAAAGGAAACATGCGGTCAGGCTTTTGACTACACATGTAGGCCCAACTATGGTTCACCGATACCAGGTCCCAACACAGGGTTAAGACTTACTTTTAGGGTAAGGTTTAGAATTAGGTTTAGGCATTTAGCTTTGATGGTTAAGGTTAGGTTAAGGTTCCAGGGAATGCATTATGCCAGAGTGTCTTTGCTTAGAGAGAGGTACAAGTATGTTTGTATATGTCATCTATATTCAGGAGACCCATATGTCTTAATCAGTAGAATTTATGATGCTTGATGTGTCAAGATGCTTTACTGGAAAAAGCCTTGTAACATCACATGACACAGACTATAATATGTTGTACACACCTCTTACTTCTGTCCCACATAGAGAAGGTTTGTGTAACTGACTTTAAGACACGAACACACTGCAGTGTGTTATGGCTATAAACTCCTCCTCATCCTACCTCTACCACCACATGCATGTGGTCTGTACTATAACCTTGGTTGCTATGGCTACTGCTGAAGGGGAGTGGGCCAAAAGTACCTTAACAAAAAAGTAGGTGATGTAAGGGTGACCTATGAGCAGAAATTGCCTAAATAAGAGAATACAGACTAAATGAGGAGAGTAGATTAAATTAGTGAAAATGCCGTCACAGACCTCTCACTCTTTCAGCACGAAATCAAAAGTAAGTTATTTAATATAGCACCTTTCACAGAGTAAGTCACAAAACAGACAAAGCTTTGGCACACAGAAAAGGGAAACTAGGCAATCACCATTTTGAATGAATTAGATTTTAGTTTATTTTTGAAGGTGTCCACAGAGACAGCAGATCTTATGTAATTAAGGAAGGCATGTCGGAGCCATGGCTTCAAATGTGTGATCAAAGTTTCTAATTTTGTAGGGACAACTAAGGCCTGGTCAGACAACAAAAGTGGCCTGCAAGTGATGTAAGGTAGCAACACATGAGATGTACATATGTGCCTTGACTTTCCCTCTAATAAGGTTGGGTGAACAGACAGTCCAATACATTTTGCTAGCAAAGACGTAGCTGCAAGCTGTAGGGTAAGAGCACATCATGGCACACACCTGGCAGAGCACAGAGAGGTACTTTTTCTAACTACTGCAAACAAGCTCTTGGATTGGCCATTTAGACTCCACCCATCTGCTTGAAGGTGCACTACACATCTTATATCTTCCATTCCAGTGTACAGTACACAATCAATTACACATGCAAATAAATCCAATTCAGACGTCGCCCTGTTCATGATTCTTTGACAAAATTAGTGGTAAGAGAGACACTCATCTTTTACACAAGAAAAAAAGAAATCCCACTGTTTAAATACTCAGTTGCAAGTAAAAGTCTGCATTCAAAACCTCACTTAGTACAAAGTACAAAGGTATTGGTATCAAATTATAATTAAAGTACAGGAAAAGTACTTATCCTGCAGAAAACCCCTTTCAGAATCATATATTACAGGAATATAATTACTAATGTAATATCAATAATTTAATGTTGCTGGAGCCAATATCAATTACTTTATGTGCTACTGTGTAACTTAACCTGCAATATATCATTTTTTGTAGTAAACCTATATTTTGATCATCTCCAATACAACATTTAAAAAGAGCTAACAGGCTAATCCCTGTCACCGAAAACGACCGGAGTCTGTGGAGGAGTTTTCAGTCACATGTCGGACGAATATTATCGTTTGTTGTCCGTCTGGTTGTCCTGACAAAGAAGTCGAAGATGTCTGAGCTCCAGTTTCTGTGGTGAGTAAAAAAAAAAATACTATATTTAATTTATGTGTTAGTAGTGATGAGCAGGTATCATTGTCTCTGTACCTGGCTTGTAGGCTTAGCTCTGCTAACCTCTGCAATGCTAACGGGTGCAACGGAAGTTATTAAACCGTCATGAACCAGTCCACACGGCAGAGAGAGAAGTGTTAGAGTTTATGGTGATAAATCTTTTAAACTGAAGGCGACTGTATGTTTGGAGAATAAACTCCACCAAGTTAGCTCTCCAACCTATTTGGCTTGACTACGTTACTGTGAGTAACTTCAGTATTAATGTTTTATTAGATTATTGTTTCAGAAATAACGTTAGTGTAGCTGCTGCAGTGTGAAACTTGTTGAGCTGGACTTTATTTATTACCAAATTCATTAACATTACCACAAACCTAGATTATCATACTGCAGGAACAGATTAACTGTGATTGACTGAAACATGAACTTGTCTGACTTTACTGACTCATGAACTGTCATTCATGTGTCAAATAAGTGAACGTGCAGAATGTTGGTGACTCAGATATCCTGCACCCATGGATGTCCAACATAAGGAGACAGAACTGGACAACAACAAGACTGAACACTGAGTCATCACTTCAGCACTGACTCCAGGTATAGACCTCTTCTCATAACTTACTAACAATTAAAGCAAAATATTGCACAATATCATTACATTATATATGCAATACTTTTAATGTGGAAGAACTCCATACTGCACATTCATTGTCTTGGTAGTACACTGTTTAATTCCAAACCATATTCAAGTACATAGTTGAATATCCACAGAATATAAGGACACAGAATATAAGGACACAAACTTTGTATGAAAGTAACTCTTATCTCTGCAATAATGCCATACTTTTATGTTTCCTGTTGTTTTATTAGGGATCGACAAACCTGAGGGACACAGCTGTGCTGACTGTGTTCTGTCTCTTGTGGCAAAAAAGAGATAAAACACTGTTTTTATCTAAAGTTTATCAATCAGAAAGTAAAATATGTTGTGATAACAGTTTTTTTTTTAACCAACCAAAATGAATATAGAAATTGACTCAATATTATCCATGACACTTAGCAATGACTGCCAACTGTAAGCAGTTGCAGGTCATCTTTAGTTGAGGAACACATGAAGTGCTGTGCAGATGAAGCTTGTGCAGGTCGTCCTCATGTTGACCAGCCTGAAGCTGCTGATATCCACCATGTTGCTGCTGCCACAGTGGATTCTGAGGACATCAGGTGCTGCAGTGCTTGATGAAATTAAATGAAAAAAGTCACGTTAAAGGATGTTTTATGCTGAAATCATTGTCACATCTGTAGATAATATGGAATGTAGGAGCAGCACTAACGATAATTTATAGATACTGTACAATACATTAATTACAATACTTTTGACATTGTAATATCAGCTGTGTTAAGCAGCCAAGACCGGTACTTACAGTTTATTCTGTGTTCAGCAGGTGGAAGCACCACAGTACTAAAAGAAATAAACATTGTACAGATATATAAAATGTCTTTCTACCTCATCTGTAATATTCAAGGTGATAATCTCTCACAGTGCTGTTGATAAGAGTCCACATCAAATCCCTTAATGTCTCTCAGTGTGAAAACAGATAAATATATAATAAATATGAGCACTGTTTACAACAGTGGTGTGTGGAGATTATAATCACATCTAAACTGTCATACTGTATAATTACACATCTGCACTGTGTCTAATTCAATGTAAATTCCATAACAGGCTAAAAAATGAGGTTGTAATAGTAATGGTGGTTATATAAGCCTGTATCAGAACATTATTACATGCAACTTACACATGCAGCTTATTAAAATTACTGCTACTGCAGCACTTTGTTTGTGTGTGTGTGTGTGTGTGTGTATGTGTGTGTGTGTGTGTGTGTGTGTGTGTGTG